TGGACTCTCGATTTCTGGCTCTAGGCATCTAATCTGATAAATCTATTCTAACATGCCAATTTCCACAAGCCTCTGGATACCTCATTCTACATTATACCAATGCAGCTCTGGTACTTCAACTTACCTTAAGGTAGGCCACTGCATAATCCATACTTCAGTAAGCCAACCAAATAAACAATTGGATCATTTCCTCACCTCTCAAGCTGAAACATTGAATGAAGAATCAATACTTAGTGGGCCTAAATCAATAAACTCAGATTGATCCAATGTTACATTCCTTGCAACATTATCCCACATCCTCAGTAGCCATTCCCATACATGTTCTCCAGGTTTCTATCTTTACATGTTAGCAAAATCAAGTAGGTCTTTTTGGGTGTAGCGTACCACCTCCTTAGTCACACTCTGTATTTCACCTTTTGGGGCTTGCTTGGACTTTAGTTATAGCTCTGGCAGCCGCATTGGGTGGTTGGGGCAGTTCCTGAGAACATCCAGCAATGTCTTCCATGGCCTCTGCCTCAGGCAATGACCCAGCAGGAACAGTCGGGTTAATCCCATCAAACCGATGTGAAAGGGATAATGGTTTCATAGTAATCCCTTCAGATGGGAGGGATTCAACAGAATTTACAGGCTTCATATCCTGATTGCCCTGACTATCTGCCCATATGTCCCCATTGCAGGTTTCAGGATTCCATTTTTCCCCAATCAATGCCCTCACTTTAACTTCAGACACCATTCTGGGTTGGCAATTCAATTCAATTGGCCTTGTAATTCAGCCAGTCTTACAATAAGACTCTGGGTTTGGTTGTCGGCAATATCAGCTCTGTTACTAGAAGAAATAAGGCTTTTTTTTCAGAGCACTACTGGAAACATTGAGGTCTTTTATGCGGCACTTGAGCTGTGACTCAGCAGCCCTGAACTCATCTCGCTCTTCCACCACTTTGTGTAGTGTAAGTAGAACGAACCAACCAGCTTCCTTATACTCCCCATGCTGACAGAATTGCAGAAAAGTATCAAGTATCAAAGTATCAGAAAAGGATCACCCAGAGCCTCACATCTCAAAAATACTTGATCTATTGGTGGTGCAGTTTTGCATATTATCATGCCACAGATTAGCAGGGCCCTCTTTACTAATGGAGGCAGAGTCCCCAGTGCCTTTCAATTAATCAAATTTGACAACTAAAACAGAATTGGTGAGAACCAGTTTAGGAAGCCCATCCTTATGATTTTATCTCTCTAGAACCACTCTGGTACCAAATGTGTTAGGTTGGGTTCTCTAGAGAAGTAAAACCAGTAAAGGTTATATATATATAGAGAGAGAAATTTATCTTAGGAATATGGCTCACACACTTATAGAAGCTGGCAATTCCTAAGTTCTTGGATCAAATGTCAAGCTGGAAGCTCTTCCCAACTCATGTAGCTGCAAAGGCTGATGAGCTCAAGGTTGGCAGGCAGTGTGCTGGCTGTTGGCTCCAACGAATGACAAATCTAAGATCTCCAGGCCGAGTGGTGGATTGTTTACTCACGGACAGTTGTAGGCAGCATAAGAGGATCCACAGAAGAGTGTCTCTTTTTCCCAGGATACCCATAAATATGTCGGAAGCAGGGCACACCCCTAGGAAAACTCCCTTTCAACATATTGGCTGATCAAAACATATACATCTAACCACATAATGGGATTAACCCACATCACAACTTCTTAGACCAAATAGAATTGTGGTCCAGCCAAGTTTATGCACAACTCAAACTATTACATATATCTTCCCATTGTCTTCTTGCCTGCAGAGTTTCTGCCAAAAAATCAGTGCTTAGTCTTATTATTACCTCTTTGTAGATGATATTTCCTTTTTCGTGAGCTTTTCTCAGAATTCTTTGTCTTTGCTTTTAGAAAGTTTGATTATGATATTCCTGGTGTCTTTCTTTTGAGGTGTATCCTGTGTGTGCGCTTCATTGAGTTTCCTGGATGGAAACCTTCTTGTCTTTCATGATATTAGAATTATTCCATAATTCTCTGTGTGTTTTTCCCCATCCTCTTCTGAAATGAAATTCCTATTATGTGTAACTTATTCCCTTTGATAATGTTTTATATATCTCTTAGAATTTCTTCATTCTTTGTTCTGATATTCCTCAAACAAATTACTATCAAGGAATTTGGCCTCTATTTCATTGATTCTTCCATTGCTTCAATTCTACTTCCATTGAGTTATCTATTTCTGATATTTTATTAATATTCTGGATCTGGTTGTTTTTGTATGGTTTCTTACTGTCTATTTATTTTGTCATTTTATTCTTATTTTGTCTCCATGAATTTTTCTAGAGTTTTGTCTGTGTTTTCCTTGATCTCTCTGAGGAGCCTACACCTAAATCCATTTAATTCCTCTTCAGATAGGTCAATGACCACTTCTTCATGAAGGTTTTCTGCCCCTTTATTTTGTTCAATTGTTTGAGCTATCTTAACCTGTTTCTTTGTATGATTTGTTATTTTCTGCTCTCTGCAAGGCATTAAGATGATAATTTATTTGTTTATGTATTTCTTTATTGATTATATGTATGTTTGATTTATGCTGATCTTTTAAAATTTAATTTTGATGTAATTGGAGCTTTATTTTTTTCTCATTCTCTTCAGAATGTCTTTCTTTGTATTAATTGCTGTTGCTTTGTGGTCTGGTACATGTGAGACTTTCTTTGTTGGTGTCTGTTGCTGTGTGTGACTTCCTCTCCCTAGTGGCTATGGTAGGTTTCATACTCATTCAAGTCTTCTGTGATTAGGCTAGCATGTCTTCCATTACTGCGTTGGGTGGAAGTGTGAGAGCAGGTTCTTTCCCTGATATTGAGTAACTAGTGTTGGATGGTCAGGGTCCCTCCACAGCCCTCTTTCCAGGCTGATTATTGCTTTCTGTGGAGGTCAGGGTAAGACATCTCTGTATTTGCTGTGAGGAAGTGCTAGTGAAATGGAAGGGGCAGGCCCACTTTGCATTCATGAATTGGTATCTCATTAGGTGGTGCGGTATTAAACGATTTCAGTGCAAGTGAAGAGTCTGCAGCAACTGTTTGAGAGTGTGATGTGTGATATTGCAGCCAATCAGACACTGGATGTGTGCACTAGGATATACTGCTCATTGTTTGGCAGAGGTGGAGATGGTGCCTGTCAGGATGTGAGTGAAGTTGCTGATGAGGTGATACATCTGTCCGGCTCATCACCAGAGCATGGGTGCAAGGAGAATTCTTGCCAGTTGCTGGGTTGGGTACTGTTTGTGCACACCACTGGTTTTCAAGTGGTCAGGGCAAGGGTATATAGATCACTGTTTAGCAGGTGGGTAGGCCAGACTTACGCATAGAGGTGTGAGTTGCTCGAACCTCAGAAAGGGGGTAGTGTGCAGTTCCAGGCTTTGGTACACAGGGAGGAGGGGTGGTCATGACCAGGCTTGTGTCCTTTGGCATGTGCTTTCTGCAATTCATAGTGGGGTAATATGCATGGCTGGGTTTGCACACGTCAACTAGGGCCTTCTTTGTATCATACAGGGGGTGGTGGAAATGACCGTGCTTGTGCCATTCAGCATGGGCAGCTGCTCCTCAGGGCACGTGCTAATGCAGATGGCAGACAGGGTGACTGCTTGCACAGGGCAGGCAGGTTCTAGATGGGAAGGACTCTAGTTGTTACTCTGTGGGTTGAAATTTTTTGGATGACTCCCATATTAATTCTTGGGTGCCTCTACTGACAAGCAGTCCCTGCACTAATACCTAGCTTCCTTACTTTAGGTACTCACCAGAGGGGCTGGAGCTCTCCCTTAACTCTCTGTTTACCCTTTTATTCCCCAGAAATTGTAAAGTCCCTGTCTATACTTTCTCCTTCTCTAAGGCTCAGATGACTCAGTCTGCTTCATTTGCTCTCGCGGTGTTTCTCTGTGGTTCTCTAGTTTCAAAGCTATGCCACTCTTGTGCTTCCCCTTGAGGGGTGCACCATCCCTAGCTGTGTCTTCCCCAACTTGTCATTTCTTTCCAGGGTTATTTGTACAGAATCTCTGTTACAAGCTGTGCTCTCTGTGGTTATTTTCCTGGGTTCTTCCTTCCATGTTGTTCAGTGCTGTCCCAAAATGACCACATTGCTCTGGCAGGCAGGGATAGTCAATTCACGCATCACTGTTTTCCTGCTGGCCTTGTTCTGCTTCTCTTTCCAGTACATTTTCAGTCTGTTTCTTCAACTCTCTTTTTGATGTTCTTGAATTCAAAGTTATTTATTTATTTATTTATTGTCTACTTAGCTTCTCAAGTCTTTGTTGTCAGGGTCGTTATAGTGTATATTTATCTAGGCACCATATGGACCAGAAGTCCACAATATCTCTCATAATCTTCAGTAAATCCTAAATTATTTATATCTTTTATTAATAAAGCATATATATATATTACTTTAGGGAATAATTAAACATCCTTTAAACCTAAGTTGCATGGTCAAGTTAAAGAATTTTTTTTTTTTTTTTAATCAAGTTACTCAGTATGCTGACTTACTCCTTATGAATATGATGAAAGTATAGTAGGCTCCTTTCAGTGACTTGCAATGTAAATTTAATGGCAGCTTCATTAGGGAATTCTTTTTGTATAAATAGAAGGATGGTTGGAACATTCTTTTTAAAGCCTCCTGATCCAGCTCTGAAAAGAAGCACTCATATGTTTAGTCACCTGTTAAGAAAAAAGAGTCTCAAAATTCCAACTAGTTATGAATATACATTATACATTGTGGATATAGTTGAGGTCAAAGTAGACTTTTGCAAGAAGGAGAATGTTAGCTAACAGAAAATATGTATGACAATTATATGTACAGTTCTTGCTCTTTGGGAAATATTCAGCTCTGAAAGGTCAAAAACAATTATGTATATTATACTGACGTTTATAGAAACAGGCTTCATCATAAAAATGAATGAGAAAGGGTGATTCAATATTTTTAACATTTTCATCATTAAACATTTATGACATTTCAACTTATAATTTTACAGGTATCTACAGAATATTGAACATACAGATCCAGGATCTTCAAGACTTTATCACCTTGAGTCAAGGATTTATTTGATATCCTCCTTGGTCTTTACTTAATATCAAGTAACAGGTTTATTATTATTATTATTATTATTAACATATTTCCACTAAAGGGATTTTAAAAATATAATACTATCCAGATTTTCCAATGCCTAAAAATAGCAAAGTGGTAAAGAGAGAATTAGACGATGAGGTTATTGAATCTGTCAAAGACCTTCTTTCAAATGAAGACTCAGCTGATGATGCTTTTAAGAAGAGTGAACTAATTGTTGATGTTCAAGAAGAGAAAGATACAGATGTTGAGGAAAGATCTGAAGTTGAAGATGAAAGACCAGCTTGGAACAGTAAGCTACAATACATCCTGGCCCAAGTTGGATTTTCTGTAGGTTTAGGGAATGTTTGGCGATTCCCATACCTATGTCAGAAGAATGGAGGGGGTAAGTTCTTATTTTGAGAAGTGATACATTATTGTAGTAAATTGGAGTTAGGTTCCTCAGATTGCTACAGTCTCATTGTTTTAGAAACTATGAATTCCATTTTAAAGCTAAGGAGATTATTTTGTGGGAGGTAAACCCAACTCTGTTTTCAGATTAATATTCTGTAGGAGCAGAGAGGTTTATAAAAAATACAAAATGATTACTTAAGGGTCCTAAATGCTTATATTCTTTCTGTGGATGCTATACATATAAATATAGATATAAAGGATCATTGCTGACTTGCACTTCTTTAGGAAGTGTTTTATCTTTTGTGCCTCTTTGAAGAATAATCTGAAGTTTCTAATATAAGATTAATTGCGAAGGAAGACAATTTTCTCCCTTTGGTTTATTAATTCTGAATTAATTTGTCTCACTCTTTGAAATAGCAAAGATGACATATAATTTAAAATGATCATGGTCTTCAAAAGAGCTCTGGTAGCATAATGGATGAGGCACTTGACTGCTAACCAGAAGGTCAGCAGTTCAAATCCACCAGCTGCTTCATGGAAGGAGGACAGGGTGATCTACTTCTGTAAAGATTTACAGCCTCAGAAACCCAATGGGGGTCACTATGAGTCAGAAATGACTTGATGGCAGTGAGTTTGGTTTGGTTTCTTGTCTTCAAATACTCATCAGAAATTTGTAGATCCCACTGGAAGAGATGCAAACATATAAGGCCTGGTATTCTTCATCCTTAGATGTCTTCCATATTTGATTCCCAATGTCATAGAATCTTGGGACAATGTTGAGTTTCAAAGAAAACTTTAAAGAAACTAGCAGCTTAAAAGAAAATATCTGCATCATCACTGACGTTTTCACTTTTTTGCATTTGTGCATATAATTACTTAGAAAAACAGAAAAAACTATTTTAGAAATCAAGGAAAAAAAAAAGCTATCCAAAGATTGATCATGTAGGATGCTAGCTCAGTAGTACACCAAAATCAAACTGAATACTACATTAACTAACATTTGAGTTGAAAATTACACATTTCCATAAAATCTGTTAAAGTAATTGTGGTTAAAACTAAATATTCCATAAGCCATGCATTTTAGCCCACATAGAAAAGAAAGAAAATTTTGATATGTGATTCTAGTTTGTGATAGCTTTTTGATTGGGCAAAAAATATATGGTTTTTATTTTTAATGTAGCTTTAGTCTACAAAACCTTTCAGCATTTGACTGCTAACCAGAAGGCTGGTGTTTCAAACCCACCAGCCACTCGTTGGAAGGAAGATTGGGCGATCTACTTCCATAGAGATACCGCCTCAGAAACCCAAGGAGGGGTCACTATGAGTTGAATCAACTCGACAGCAGTGAATTTGGTTTGTTTTTTCAGTCTACAAAACCTTACATCAAATATAGCCATTACAATGTGAAAATTCTTCTTAGCCACTGAAAGAGATACAGATGTTAAGGTGTTATGGAGACTAAATATGTTTAAAATCTTTCTTAGTTAATTTGACTAGGCACAAAATTAGAAGTATGGAAAAACTAGCTTATTTGACAAATCTGCCTGAGAACTAAGAATCAATATATGAAGCTGGTGATACACCACACATCTTTCTATGAAATTGTAAGCACCTCATCTAGTTGGGAAATCACATATGAATTATTTATCAAATCAGCTATAAGCAATTATGCACTACTTTGCTTTTCTATTTTTCACAAATCATTCCATTTGCCCAGACTGGGAGAAGATTAATTCTGATTATAGGACTTTCACTTTGTAAACCTTAAGGAAGAAGGCTGTTTTGTTTTTTTTGCCAGACCTCTAAAACTGTTTTCTTGGAGAACTCTGATTTCATATTTAGTCAGTACTAGCAAAAACAATGGCTCTTTCTTATATAAAAAGAGTCAAAATGCCATTCCCAGTATTGCATCCTCTCTTCTATGTATAAATAATAAAGAAAGGTAGTATATCTATCATATAATGTAAATGGACATTATTTTATGATGACTATTAAGATTACAAAGGAGCTCTGCTGGCTCCATGCCTAAGGCATTTTGACTGCTAATCAGAAGGTTAGTGGTTCAAACTCACCAGCCACACTGTGGAAGGAAAACTGTGCAGTGTACTTTCGTAAAGATATGCCGCCTTGGAAATCCAATGGAGTTGCTTTGAGTCAGAATCGACTCAGTGGCAGTGGGTTTGATTTGTTTTTTTCGGTTAAGATTACAAAAGGCTGACTCATTATGCAGAACAGCATTGAACCTGCTAGATATTTGAGTAGTATCTTCTTCTTGCTAAATAGCTCAGGCTACCTCAATATTATTCATTAATCATTTGAGTCACTTTATGAATAATAGACATAAAAGGTAATAACTAAAATATAAGGTGATTTTTCTAAACATACTATACATAAAGCACAATAGTCTAATGTTGAAGTCAGTTTGACAATTTGAAGCTTGACGCATTCCCACACTGATCATGTGACCTTTTACAAGTTACCTGTCTTATTTGTGCTTAGTTACCATACCTGTGAAATGGGAATAGTAAAGCTACTTTCTTCCTTGGGTTCTTGTAAGGAATAAATGAATAATTACATCTAACCCAAGGAGGGGTCACTCTGAGTCGGATCCGACTTGACGGCAGTGAGAGTAACATGCTTAGCAATGTGCCTGGCAAATAGTAAATGTTTAATTATCTTTTCAGTTACAACTATTTTTTATATAGGGGCTAATCTTAGAGTAAATGGAGTTAGAAGAAGAGGTTAAGTATCCAATAGCATGTCATTCACACTTGACTGAGCAAAGGATCTCAATAAGTCCACTCTTATTCACTCTTTCTCGTTCTCCTTTTTTTATGAGCTGTATACACACAGATACACCAATGCACACTCTAGAATTATTAAAATATATTTTCAGTTATTTAGGAAGCACTTTCATGTTAATCTGTTTAAGTTACTAATGATTTTAGAATAGGATCTTGATAGCTCTGTTTTATACATTGATATATCATGTTTTATTTTAGATGCCCCTTCAACTAAGTCTGAAAGACTGTATATCACCCATAAGAAGGCAGAGGTTGTATATCCACCACTAACTTAGGGGAACACTCTATACATTCTTTATTGCAGAGATAGATACTGAGATAAATAATTTTAAAATATTTGTTGATTTTTATCTCTTTAGCACAATAATTACTAGAATGATTTGAAGAGACTACAAAGTCTGTTAAATAACAATTAGACACTTACTTTAAAATAGAAAAAACATAATAGCTTTTTTTAAAAAAAAATCAATTACATGCTTGACATTATCTGATTAGACTAAACTTCAGAGAAGAAATTTAAATGTAGGAAGTCCATCTTTGAGGTTACTTAATAAATAATTTGTGTATGTATTCTCATGTAGAAATGAGTTCAGGTCTCATTTAATTTGAAAATCCAATAAAAATGTCTGATGTTTTCTTTTTCAGTACCTTTGCTAAACTATGCAATATATTTTTTCAGTCATTATCCTATATGTCCTAATTTGAGATTTACTGAAAATAATACTTTTTAAGTATTGAAATTTTATTACGAGGAGAACAGTGCATACATTTATTTTTGCAACTTTTATTGTGATTTGGGTGACATTGTACAAAGCAAAATCATTTTCCATTTAGTAGTTCATGCACATTTTGTTTTGTGACATTGAATACAATCCCTACTATGTAATATCTCTCTTTCCCTTCCTTCCTGTGGTTACCCTTTCCCTGTGTCCTTCTTTCCTATACATTCCTGCCTTCTTAGCTTTCTCCATGCATAAGGCTGCCCTTCTGATCTCCACTCTAAGGTGTGCATCTCCCTGGTGTAATTGTTCAGCTCAAAGGCGTGTCTATTTGGCTGAGAGTTAAGCCACACGAACGAGTTCAATTCCAGGCCCAAAGGGTGACAAGAGGCAATCAATAGGTTTGGGGTTTCACCAGTCTCTGTCCAACCAGTAATACTATTTATTTATTTTTTTTTATGATTTTGAGTTTTGTTCTACATTTTTTTCCACTCTGTCCAGGATCTCCAATTTTGATGCCATTCAAGTGGTTGGTATTGATAGCTAGGCACCATCTAGTTCATCTGGCCTCAGGGTCATGTAGGCTGAGGTTCCTATGATCCACTAGTTCCTTGGACTAATTGTTTCCATGTTTCTTTGATTTTCTTCACTTTTCTTTGCTGCAGATGAGGAGAGACCAATAGTTGCATCTTAGATGGTGGCTTGATAGCTTTTAAGACCTCAGTCACTACTAACCAAAGTAAAATGTAGAACAATTCTTTTGTGTACTATGTTGTGCCAGTTGAGGATGATATCATCCATGACCATGGTCCCGAGCCCACAGGCAGAGTGACTTACTCCCTCCTGGTGCTTAGTTGTGTTAAGAAGTTATCTTAAGTTTTTCCTCTGTTAGCTCTATTGTATATACCATACATTTATTTTTACGACAGACATTAAGTGTCTCATGAATGAGCTTGAGTTCTAAGTTTTGCCAAGAAACAGCTAATTTTAGTACTTTTGTCAATCATTCCCACTACTCCTTTGAAGAATTCTCGTAAAAAAAATTATCAATTTCTCAAACTGTACTTTTCATAGAAAGTATATTTGAGGGCAAATCACGGTGATATGCTGTTTTTTTTTTTTTTTTTCCCTCCAGTATAAACAGTCTTTCCTTCTATGATACTACTTGATTTAGGAAAAAAAGTCAACTTTAGTAACAAAATTTCATTCATTAAAAGTTTGGAATGCACGATACCTTAGGTGGGTAGGGATAAAGTTTAATGAATGACTTCATAAAGAACATTGTTGAATAAGATTTCCAGAACCAGTAGTGTGTGAAACATACTCAAGAAAATAATCAATTTTAAAAATCAATTATTTTATCTAAAATGAAACTGTTTTTTATCCTTTTAATAAAATGAAGAAATGCTTTGTAGAAAATTCTGATGTCAAATTCTACAAATTTTAAAGTAATAAAATTGTTTTATTTAAAGTTCTCTTCATTCTGTATTGTATACAAGTTCAATAAATACCTTTCATGAGCTAATTAGAATTTGTGTTTTCTCTACTGTGCCTATTCACAATATAATCTATTCTATTTGTTCCTGTCTCTTTAGGTGCATATCTTTTGCCATATTTAATACTGCTTCTGGTAATAGGTATTCCTCTTTTTTTCCTGGAACTTTCTGTGGGTCAAAGAATTCGTCGAGGCAGCATTGGTGTATGGAATTACATAAGTCCTAAACTGGGCGGGATTGGATTTGCAAGTTGTGTAGTAAGTTTTCTGGTATGGTATATGGCATCATTTTTAGATGGCTTGGAATTACATTATTACACATAAATGAAACCTCTGATTATGTGTTTCTACTCAGCTCTTCAATTCTCTTTTAAAAAAACACTACTGTTATTAGTAATATAGCTAAATCTTGTTAATTTATGTTTCTAAGGACTGTAAGAAAAGGAGTTCTGTTGGCTCAGTGGTTAAAGCACTCAGCTGTTAACCAAAAGGTCAGTGGTTTGAACCCACCAACTGCATAGCAGAACAATGTGTCAGTCTGCTTTCACAGAGATTACAGCCTTAGAAAACCTATAAAAACCAAAGCCACTGCCATTGAGTTGATTCTGACTCATAGAGACTCCCTGGGTTTCTGAGGTGGTAAATCTTTATGGAAGTAGATTGCCTAGTCTTCCTTATGCACAGTCGCTGGTGGGTTTGAACCACCATCATTCTGGTTAGCAGTCAGATACCTTATGCACTGAGCTACTAGAGCTCCTTGGAAACCCTATGGGGCAGTTCTATTCTGTCCCATAGGGTCACTGTGAGTCAGAATCAACTAATTTGGTTTTTGGTTTAAGTCCTAAAACAAAAAGATTATCTTTGTCATAAAAGATAATTTGTTTCAAATAGAATATATAATGAATTAGATGATGTTTTATGCATTTCATTTTATTGCTTCAAAGGAAAATACGAGAGTTTTAATGTGATATTATTATTTTTTGCAGGTGTGTTTTTTTGTGGCTCTCTACTACAATGTCATCATTGGCTGGAGTTTGTTTTATTTTTCTCAGTCTTTTCAGCAACCTCTACCTTGGGATCAGTGTCCTTTGGTGAAAAATGCTTCACATACTTGTAAGACATGAATAATGTAGTGTTTTTCCACTTAAAGATGATAAAATTGGTAAAGGCATAAGCTTTCAAATGAGTCTTTTTTTTTTTTTTTTTACATTAGTATGAGAAAATATTTTTTAAATGTCAGAGTAACAAAATTTCCTCCCATTTTGTACTGGCATACTAACAGAGATAAACCTTTGACACAAGCTAATTTTACTGTCTCTTCTCCATCGTGCCCCATACCATCAGGATAAAAGATTGTAAGCCTTCAGTAGTTAAAGTGTGTATCTCTCATTTTGTACACCCTCTGGATACCTTACATTTTCTTTAAAATAAGTTAAACAAAATAAAACCAAAAAGAACAAAAAGAAGAATTTGAGTGGATCTAATTGCTTTTATTTTTGGGGTTTGTTTCATAGTTTTTTCATTTATTTTTATGTCTGAGGAAATAAGCAACTTCCTTTTGTAGCTATGTCTGATAGGTATATAATGTAGGTCACACATGTAATTTTGCATTTCAACTAGCCACATTAAAAAAAAAAAAACAAGCAGGTGAAATATTTTATTAACCAATGTATCCAAAATATTAATATTTCAACATGTAATATAAAATTTTTAATTTAATAATTTATATTAGCTTTCTCAAAATCTGGTGTGTACTTTTCATTTACATCACTTGAAACTAGCCCCATTTCAAAGGTGGCATATGGCCAGCAACAACTGTATTTTACAACACTGTCCTAAATGGTCGATCAGATAATTGTGGAGATGGGAGGGGTGATAAATCTGATTTTGTTATAATTACTTTGATGAAAAGCACATGTATTCTTACTTCAGAAATGTGTAATAAGAAGTATCAAAGAAGATGTATGTCTGTTGATTTTTCATATTTTTGCAGTTTTTCATTCCTCACTATGAACTTAAATGCTCTTATAAAATAGTAGTACATTTCTAGAAAAGGTACTAGGAAATTAAGAAAATGTTAAGAATTGATTTATGAGCTTACTCTCTTTATTCTAAAATGATATCATGTTACCTATCTTTCTACAGTTGTAGAACCTGAATGTGAAAAAAGTTCCGCCACCACCTATTACTGGTACAGAGAAGCACTGAATATTTCCAGTTCCATTTCTGAAAGTGGGGGCTTAAACTGGAAGATGACCATCTGCTTGTTGGCTGCTTGGGTCATGGTTTGCTTGGCTATGATCAAAGGCATTCAGTCTTCTGGAAAAGTTAGTATGTTAGAGCTTTTCCTGGTTCTACTTATTGCCATTTCTGGGTAATTTCTAACTAGCTAGATCTAAATAGCCACATTCATCATTTTTTTCTTACCATGCTTCACTTTTATGTACTGTTACCTGAGTTATTTTACCAATTGATGTTCAGAACTTTGAAAAATACTCACACCAGGCTTTTGAAATTCTTTATGTAACTATTTTTTAAGCATGTACTGTAAGGAGAAAAGAATGATGTAAAACAAATTAAGTGAACAAATTATTCATTCTATCACTTTCCTCAGTTTCTATGAGTGGAACTAACTATAATCAGAGAACTAAAGCAAAGATAAAAGATTCTGAGACACAGATAAAATTTTTAAAGAATATCTTGATGAAATATGGACAGATCATAAAAAACATAAGATTACACCATAAAACACTTATATCTTAATTTACATGTTTTCCTTAATTTAATTTTTTTTTCAAATCATCACTTTTAGCAATCTTTGTGTCTCTTTTTAATTAACTAAGAATAATTCGCTTTTGCAATTTGCCCATAGAAATTTGTAGCAGAGGTTGGTGAGTCAAGTCCACCCAGAGGAACCTCAGAAGAAATACCTGGCAATCTAGTACAGAAAAGTTACTCATTGCTGTTTAGTCAATTCTGCCTCTGAGCAACCCTTTAGGATAGACTGGAACATCCCCATGTGGTTTTTAAGGTGGAAATCTTAGTGGAAGCAGACTGCTGCCACATCTTTCTCCCATGGTAGATTTGAACCACGAATGTTTTGTTAGCAGCTAATTGCTTAGCTACTATGCCACCAGGGCATCTTTCAGAGAAATTGGCCTTTGACAATGCTATGGAGCACAGTTCTACTCTGATGCACATGAGGTCACCCTGAATCTACCTGGATGGCAACCGGTTTAAGCACCATACAGAAAACAAAAAAAGGTCATATCATTGAGAATTAAAAGGGGCTGAGGGGAAGTCAGGTGGGTGATACTGCAGGAAAAAAGCCACAGTCTGAGACTGAGTATTTAGAGAAGAACTTGGGGAGAAGATGAAGTTGAAACTTAAGTAACAAGGAAGAATGAGTGTTGAGGGGCTAGCTGATGGAGAGTAGTGCTTCACACAGAAGGTGCAGCCCCTACTCGGACCCTGAGATAGGGAAAAGCTTGGTTTATACATGAGACAACCAGGGCCGGAGGCACTAGAGCTCAACATAGGGGAGAGTTGTGGGACAGGAAGGAAGAGACTGTATGGCTTTGTAGGCCACAGGAAAGAGTTTGCATTTTTTCCTAATATATTCAAAAACCCTACAAATATATTCAAATCCCTTAGAGTATTTTAGGAGAGAAAAAGCCAGGGGGACCAGGAGGGAGCAAGGAAGCAGTGGCAGGGATGCAGGTAAGGGGAGGGACCCAGCCCCCCCCCCCCAAGTGGCAGGAAAGAGGCAGGGATCCGTATAAAGGGAGGGTGGAGAGGTTTCAAGCAGCTAAGGGAGAAAAACTTGTCTGTTGGTTTGTCCTGCAGTGATGGCATGCTGCTGTGAGGCTTGAGACTGTGCCACTGGTGTTTTCAAACCCAGCTGGCTTGCACATGGTACACAGGTTTCAGCACAGCTTGCAGACTGAGACAGACAAGGAAGAAGGAAGAGGCCATCCACTTCTCAAAGAATTGGCTGTGAAAAACCTTATGAATAGCAGAGAAACACTGTCTGATATACTACTGCACAACTTTATGAATAGCCCAGAAATACTGTCTGACACAGTGAAGGAAGATGAGCCACTTAGGTTGGAAGCCTCCCAAAATTTTACTAGGAAAGAGCTGCATCATCAGAGTAGAACCAGCCTTACTGATATGGATAAGGAGCTTTCAAGACCTCCATTTGCTGATGTGGCATGCATGATTCACATTGAGGAGAAACAGCTGCAAACATCCATTAAAATTCGGAACGTGGAAAGTACAAAGTATGAATCTACGAAAATTGGAAGTTGTCAAAAATGAAATGGAACACATAAAGATCTATATCCTAGGCATTAGAGAGCTGAAATGGACTGGTTTTGGCCATTTTGAATCAGACAACCATATGATCTACTATGCCAGGAATGACAATTTGAAGAGAAATGGTGTGGCTTTCATCATCATAAAGCATGTTTCAAGATCTATCCTGAAGTACAGTGCTGTCAGTGATAGAAAAATATCCATATGCTTACAAGGAAGACCAGTTAATGTGACTATTATTGAAGTTTATGCACCAACCGCCAAAGCCAAAAATGAAGAAATTGAGGATTTTTATCAGCTTCTGCAGTTTGAAATTGACTGAACATGCAACATGCAATCAAGATGTGTTAATAATCACTGGTGACTGGAATGCAAAAGTTGGAAACCAAGAAGAATCACCGGTAGCTGGAAAATTTGGCCTTGGTGACAGAAATGATGTTGGAGAGTACAAGATAGAATTTTCTAAGATCAATGACTTATTCATTGCAAATACTTTTTTTCAAAAACACAAATGGCAGCTATACATGTGGACTTCACCAGATGGAATACACAGGAATCAGATTGACTACATCTGTGGCAAGAGGCTTTGGAAAAGCTCAGTATCTTCAGCCAAAACCAGGCCAGGAGCTGATTGTGTAATAGCCCATCAACTGCTCGTATGCAAGTTCAACCTGAAGCTTAAGACAATTAAAACAAGTCCACAAGAGCCGAACTATGATCTTGAATATATCCATCTTGAATTTAGAGACCATCTAAAGAATAGATTTGATGCATTGAACACCAGTGATCAAAAACCAGAAGAATTGTGGGATGACATCAAGAACATCATCCATGAAGAATTCAAGAGGTCACTAAAAGATGAGAAAAGAAGAAAAGACCAAAATGGATGACAGAAGGGACTCTGAAACTTGCCCTTGAGTGGAGAGTAGCTAAAGCAAATGGAAGAAATGACCAAATAAAAGAGCTGAACAGAAGATTTCAAAGAGTAGCTCGAGGAGACAAATGAAATGTACAAAGACTTGGAAACTAAAAGGGAAGAACACACTTGGCATTTCTCAAGCTGAAAGAACTGAGGAAAAAATTTAAGCCTTGAGTTGCAATATTGAAAGATTCCATGACCAAAATACTGAATGATGCAGGAAACATCAAAAGACAATGGAAGGAATACACAGAGTCACTGTACCAAAGAGAAGTGGTAGATCTTCATCCATTTCAGGAGGTGGCATATGATGAAAAACCAATGGTACTGAAGGAAGAAATTGAAGCTGCACTGAAAGAATTGATGAAGAACAAAGCTCCAGGAATTGATGGAATACCCACTGAGATGTTTCAACAAACAGATGGCCCACTGGAGACACTCACTCAGTTATGCCAAGAGATTTGAAAAACAGCTACCTTGTCAAGTGACTGGAAGAGATCCATATTTGTGCCCATTCCAAAGAAAGGTGATCCCACAGAATGTGGACATTATGAAACAATATCATTAATACCGCACCCAAGTAAGATCTTACTGAAGATAATTCAAAAATGTTTGCAGCAGTATATTGACTGAGAACTTCCAAAGGTGCAAGCTGGATTCAGAAGAGGACTTGGACAAAGAATATCATAGCTGCTATCAGATGGATCTTGGCTCAAGGCAAAGAATACCAGAAAGATGTTTACTTGTGTTTTATTGACTGCAAAGGCATTTGATTGTGTGGATCATAACAAATTGTGGATAACATTGAGAAGAATGGGAATTCCATAACACTTAATTGTACTCATGAGGAACTGTACATTGACCAGGAGGCTGTCGTTCGATCAGGACAAGGGGACACTGCTTGGTTTAAAAATAAGAAGGGAGTGCATCAGGGTTGTATCCTTTCCCCATAATTACTCAATTTATATGCTGAGCAAATAATCTGAGAAGCTGGACTATATGAAGAAGAATATGGCATCGAGATTGGAGGAAGAATCATTAACCTGTGATACACTGATGACATTACTTTCCTTGCTGAAAGTGAGGATGACTTGAAGCACTTACTGATGAAGATTGAAGAATACAGCCTGCAGTATGGATTACATCTCAATATAAAGAAAACAAAAATCCTCACAACTGGACCTATAAGCATCATCACGATAAGTGGAGAAAAGATTGAAGTTGTCAAAGACTTCACATTGCTTGGTGGTCTACAGTCAACACCAATGGAAGCACATTAGACAACATATAGCACTGGGCAAGTGGGCTGCAAACGTCTTCTTTCAAGTGCTGAAGAGCAAAGATGTCTCCTTGAGGACGATGGTGCGCCTGACACAAGCCATGATATTTTCAATCACCTTGTATTCATGTGAGAGCTGGACAATGGTTATGGAAGACCAAAGAAGAATTGATGCTTTAGAATTGTGGTGCTGGCAAAGAATGCTGATAGTACCATGGACTGCTAAAAGAACTAACAGATCTGTCCTAGAGGAAGTGCAGCAGAGATGCTCCTTGGAAGCAAGAATGGCCAGACTTCATCTCACCTATTTTGGTCATGTCAGAAGGGACTATTCCCTGTAGAAGGATGCCATGCTTGGTAAGATGGATGGTTGACGAAAGAGGGGAAAGCCCTCAGCAAGATGGATTGACATAGTGGCTATGACGATTGGCTCAAGTATAGCAAGTATCATGGGGCTGGTGCAGGACCAGCAGTGTTTCGTTCTGCTGTGCATGGGGTTGCCATGAGTTGGACATGACCCAATGGCACCTAACAACAACAACAACAGAATGTTTTAAGCAGAGAATGACACAACCCAAGTGGCAACCATGAAACCAATGGGTAGCATATTACAAACAGTTCAGGGCTACTACTAGATCTTTGACTTTAGTAACTGGATGGATGTTGGTGCCATTTACTGAGATTCCTTTGGGAGGAATTCAGTTCTTTTCTGGACTTGAAAAATGTGAGAGACCAATTAGGCGTCCACATGGAGCTACAAGGAAGTAGTGAATGTCTGGTTAGGATAATTTCTTTCCTGTGATAAATATTTGCCCAACTGTTTAACGGAGAAAACTGCTGAATCAGAAAGTAAAACATGGCTAATGGTTCAGGTTCTGGAAGAGACAACATAGGGACCTCTTCTGGTTACCTAGTGCTGCGCTGACAGGAATATACCACAAATGGGATGGTCTTAACAAACAGGAGTTTATTCTCTTATAGTTTGGAGGCTTTAAGTCTAAGTTCAAAGTGCCAGGCTCCAGGGGCTGGGTGAAAGCTCCTCAACCTTGGGGTCCAGCTCTGCCTCCTTCTCCCAGCCCACTGGAGCTAGATGTTTTTCTTCACTCAGACAGCTGCTGGCTGTTAGGCTGACAAGCCTAAGGTTGACAAGTAAAAAGGCACAGTCCTGATGTTACCAAACCACATGGCAGGCCATTAATTTAAGTCCATTTTAAGTCCCAAGGTTGGTAGAGTATGGCAGGCTGCTGAACAACATGGCTACATGCAGGGTCCAAATGTGCCATAAGCTAGAGAGCATTCTCAAAGCTGCTGCTTATATACGGAAAGCGGACCACATCCCAAAGCAGCTACTCAGCTGCTTGTGATAGATCCCACCATGGAGCTGATTACCAGTATCATTATGGGGAATACTGTATCCAGCTGCCCAGCCACTCAACCAGGCCTAACCAAGCTGACACACAAACATAACCACCACAGGATCACTTTTCATTTTCTGGTATTTTCACAAAGTAATAATATAACTCTGGTTAAAAGAAAAACAAAGTTTTCGTTTGTTTGTTTGTTTGTTTAAAACAAAAATAGGAAATTGACAGGGAATTAGTGTCTATTAATTCTGCCTTAAATATTGCTTGTTTTATGATGATAAGGAATCAAGGCTATTCAAATTGCACCATAACTGTGAACTGTTTTAAAGGAGATTAAGTCAGGAAGTTTCCTTATTTTTCATTATATCCTAAATAGGATCCTAAATAAGTCACAGTGAATCAAGACTAATAAGCCACTCTAATATAATAGCCTTGTTGTTGTTGTTTTGGGCCACTGAGTCAGACCTGACTCATGGTGACCCCTCCTTGGGTTTACAGGGTGGTATCACTATGGAAGCAGATTACCCAACCTTCCTTCCAAGGAGTGGCTGGTGGGTATCACTAATAGTGTTATACAAAAAAAAAAAAAAAAATGACCATCAAAGTATGAGTTGGGGCCGACTCGATGGCACATAACAACAACAACAACAACATCAAAGTATAAAGCAGAATACGTATAATCTTAACTATAGAAAAAGAATGTAATTGTTAGTACGACTCACCTATAGTTTCTTTTCTTTCTTTTCAGATCATGTACTTTAGTTCTCTTTTCCCATATGTGGTACTTATATGCTTCCTAATCAGAGCACTCCTTTTAAACGGTTCAATTGATGGCATCCGCCACATGTTTACCCCTAAGGTATGTACTACATTTATATTTAATGGTTATGATCATGAAAGTATTGTGCATATTATTATTATGTTTCCACAGGCATATTTAAGAAATAATTGTTCTAGCATATGTAAATTAGACCTTTAAATTATAGTTATGTCAACCATTTTAGAAAAACCAGAGTTTTTAAATATCTATGTATCTTTAACTTTAAACATCCCATTCTGGTTCTAGAGTAAGACTATAGATGTTTAAATTTCAAAAGTCACTCTTTTATAATAAATAAAGTTCACTGATAAATTTTAGAACTTTTCATGTTTCACTTATCCTTCTCCTTCTTTGTCAGTGGTTCTTAACCTGCTGTGAATAGCTGTGAATCTTTTTACCAGAAAAACAAAACCAAACAAAAAGATGAATATATTAACTTGATTAGAGTCTCAGGAGGTTGCTACCCTCCCTAATACCCATAGACTCCCATCCAGTCAAGTACACTATTGAATTCTAAGATGCTATCTCAAGGGAAATCCATGTTTTATTGTTTTGATATTTTGTATCTCCAGGAATAATATTTGTAGTAGGCCTTTGGGAAGTTCTGTATCTTTTATAAATGCATGTAGAGTTCAGGAAAATTATCATTAGTCTTCATAAAGGGCTCAGAACTTAGACTCTTATTTCACTTACTTAACTGAATGCAACGCTGAATGTATTGAACCTGGTTAATCAATACTTGTGGACTTGCTATAGTGATGTAACACTCACTTTTAATTTGATCACACCATCATAGGCACACACTGAATTATAAAAAGACAACTTCCAAATTGGTCCAGAAACGAAGTCTTCTGAAGGATGAATGGGGAGTCAGTATCATGCTGAGATTTGGGAAGAAGGGCTTAACTTCCCTGGCATTCTTTGTCATTTCCAGTAGCTGCCTTGACACAGTAGAAAGGAAGCTGTGTTCTTTGTTCTAGTTAACATCTAGAGTTGTTGGGACTTCTCAGTGAATCGCTAAACCTACTGCCATCAAGTAGATTCCATCTCATAGTGACCCAACGGGAGAGAGTAGAACTGCCCCATAGAGTTTTCAAAGCTGTAAATCTTTATGGAAGCAGGTGCCTCAAACTATTTACATTTATAATACTGGAAAAAAAAAATGTCTCCTGAGTTTAAAATACCTAATTTCTGTGAATTTCTAGCATATGACCTTTCCTAAATTTTCAATTGCTTGTGACATAATTCTAAATGTTTGGTTTGATTAGATATTTTAGACTCTAAATTTAAACACTTTGATATTTACATGGTTTCAGTCTTTAAAACTGCAGCACACATTATAGTAACGTTTTTAACTAGAAATAGGAATCACGGTGACATAGTGCCTAAGGCATTTGACTGCTAACCAGAGGGTGGTGGTTCAAACCTGCCAGCCACTTCTCGGGAGGAAGGTTGGGCAATCTACTTCCGTAGTGATGCTGCCTCAGAAACCCAAGGAGGAGAAGCTGTGAGTCAAATCCGACTCAAAGGCAGTGGATTTTATTGAAATGTAGTTAATTTTTCTTTTAACTCACTTTTCATAGGCTTGATGCAGTACTACAGATATGGTATTTAATATAATGGTGATAAGTAGTTATCAGTTATTTTTCAATTTCCATTGTTTATGTAGGGGAGAAAGTACCTACACACACAAAATGCAAGGGCAAAAGTGAATGGAAAAGATAATCAGAAATGGAAGCAAGCAGAAAAAAGTCTTTAGTAAATAGGTGCTTTCTGCCATCTAGTGGATAATGTAGAGATATACAATTGAGTGTGTTTTAGATCAAGCTTACCATACAGTGGTAATGTACGATGCTCAGTGAGCAACAGGCACATCTTAGTTAATTGTTGTAAGTCCTATATTAATAAAAAGAATCATGATTATGTTTGTTGAGAATATTTTATACATTTCAACCATAATGATTAAAACTGAAGCAATAAATCTTAATAGTTGAGAGATCATGGGTTTTGGAATCTACCTGTGTTCAAGTCTCAGCTCCATCCCAGGCTTGCTGTGTGACCTCAGGCAGGTCACTTATCATTTCTAAGACTCAGGTAACAATCTTATAAATTGTTGTGAGGATTAAATAAAACAATTCATATAAACTGCTTATCAGTGTGTGTGCCAGTAAAGGCCATATATATGTGTTAGCTTAGTGAGCACTTGCAGTGTGGTAGGAAACATGATAGCATATATATGTCTTGTTTTTCCCATATTTTAGTTAGGGAAACAAGCTCAGAAAGGACAGACCACTCGCACTATTATTAAACAGCAGAATCAGCATCTGCAGCTGTGGAACTTATGTTCTTAACCAATTTCAGCAATGCAGTGTTAAAAAGGGGATAAAATATTAACTTGTATCTGTTACTGAAATCAGACTTACATGTTTATTGAGGTATATGTCAGTTACAGCTAATATGAACTGCTCCATTAAAAAGGTCTGGTTCTATACAGTGATAATTATCTAAGAAGTATAGGTGAGTTATTTGAAAATATATGCTCAGCACAGATCCAGAACATTAGAATTTTTGAATTTTGGATCTGAACACAAATCTTAGAGATGATATAGTTGAATTTTTTCAATGTTGAAAATAAAGGCTTTCAGGAAACCTTTGAATAAGTGAGTAACAACAACAACAACAACATAGCGGTGAATATGTAGTAGATTGCCCAATCCTCCTTGCAAGGAGTGGCTTATGGGTTTGAACCACCTTCTCATTAGTGGTCAAATGCCTTAGGCACTATGCCACCTTTTTTTTTTTTTTTTTTATAGAGGTGAATACGTAAAGTGTAAATAGTTCTTCTGTGCCAAATATGTAATTGTCATCTACTTCAACTATTAGACTTCCATTAGGAAACACAAATCCTAGGGTATTTGTTAAGTGATTATTTAACTTTCATTGTTAGTTGCTTTATTTTTACCTGAAAAGAAAAAAAAAACATGAGGAAGTAATTGAAGCTAGTCAGTTTTCTCTTTCATTTTGTCCTTTGATGATTTGTCTTAAAAGTATTTTAAAATTCCTATAAGTAGATAATCTTCATGTAAGTACAATTCCTAATCTAAGGGCCTTGATAGTCTTATCCATCATTCTTGTTTTCTCTAAATGAAAAATTGGTTATTTCTGTTAAGAACAGATTATGCTCCAGATTTAAATAACCTTTCATTGCATAAATATCATTGTAATATATTTAAAGCAAAACTAATTCCATGTAGATGAATTATTTTGAAATATTTTGCAGCTGACTTCTATTATGTTTAATTTTAAACAGCTTGAAATAATGCTGGAGCCCAAGGTCTGGAGAGAAGCTGCTACTCAGGTGTTCTTTGCATTAGGTCTGGGATTTGGTGGCGTAATTGCCTTTTCAAGCTACAACAAGAGAGACAACAACTGCCACTTTGATGCTGTCTTGGTGTCCTTCATCAATTTTTTCACTTCTGTCCTGGCAACATTGGTGGTGTTTGCAGTTCTGGGCTTCAAAGCAAATGTCATAAATGAGAAATGCATTGCACAGTATGGATATTTATTTCCTTTAACTTTTGACAGCATAATTGTGTCCAAAATATAACCCCAAATAAACCTAAGTATTCATTAATATGTTCTGTTTTTCAGAAATTCAGAGATGATCGTAAAGTTTGTGAAAATGGGCAACATTGGTCAGGACATTATTCCTCATCATGTCAACTTCTCAGTTGTGACTGCGGAAGATTACCATTTGGTTTATGACATCATTCAGAAAGTGAAAGAAGAAGAGTTTCCTGCCCTTCATCTCAGTTCCTGTGACATTGAAGATGAGCTAAATAAAGTTAGTAGTCCATGTTAAGCAGTAAAATAATTATCGGACAATTAAAATATACATTATCCACAACCCTTCTTTCAGGAAAATGGCCTTGAAAATGCCTGCAGAAGATCCTGCTGCAGTAAATTCACATTCTCCATTTCACAAAACACGCTTCCTTAAATCATACAGGTTTGCTTTACTTTACAAAATGCTTTTATTGATTGAACCATGATCATTTAAAATAGGAATATGAAGTGTATAATTTTCATCGAAGAAAATGAGTCTGATATTTTTCTTGGTTTCATATTTTAATACAAAATTTGGATTGTGAGCAGCATCATGTATACTTTGTATGATTGCGTGCAGACATAAATAATATTTGAAATGATCCTTTTAATAGTAGTGTTTAAAAAGCTATGATTAATTCCTTTCTCTTAGTCACTTTCATATAGTTTAATAAACAAGAAATGATGGACATTAATAAGTGCTTATATTGGCTATTATTCTCTGTCTTGATTGTAAAAAAGAAAATATAATACAGAAAGTGGCTTGCTTTAGGATAGCTAACTATAATCAAGAATAAATATACAGAATTATGTACTGGAAATTATGCACGAAGCCATCATTAATATAAAAACAGTTCTTGAAGGAAAGAATTAATTACTACTCTTTTGATACTGAGCAAACTTTTGATACATGTTTTTAAATTTTGGCTTTCTCAATATCTTTATTAGCTAATTCAAGTAACTTGAAATTTGGGTACAAGTAAAATGTTACAGGATGTCATAAAAAATAAAATCATGTTAATTTTTACTAGAAATCCCACTAAGTTCTGGCTGATTGGAGTATTGGTATTTTTATCCATTTTATTATTGATTTTGGCTGGAACTCCATGGTGTTCCCTGAGTTATAAAAACCCAAACTTTAGCAGGGAGAGAGGAATATCAGGGTAGAAAAGATGAAGATACTAGTTTTAAGATAATTGACCTTTTAGATTATCTAATTAGTCTCAAAAAACAACAACACAATAAAAACCCAAAAAACAAAATCACAGCCATTGAGTCGATTCTGACTCATAGCAACCCCAATGGCTTTCTGGGGCTGTAAATCTTTATAGAAGTAGATCGCCCTATCTTCCTTCTGCAGAGTGGCTGGTGGGTTTGAACTGCTGACCTTCTGGTTAGCACCCAAATAATGTCTTATCCACTATGCCACCAGAGCTCCTTATCCAATTTTCCTAGTCACTTTTTATTTAACATTAACATGTTTATTTAAAATTTATTGTTGTTGTTAGGTGCCGTCATGTTGGTTCCAACTTTTAGCAATGCTATTTACAACAGAACAGAAACACTGCCCAGTCCTGCTCTGCTCTCACAATTGTTGCTATGTTTGAACCCCTTTGCTGCAGCCACTGGGTTAATACATCTCACTGAGTGACTTCCTCTTTTTTTTTACCGTACCTGTATTTTACCAAACATCGTATCTTTCTCCAGAGACTGGTCATTCCTAATGACATATCCAAAGTAAATGAGACAAACTTTCACCATTCTTGCTTCTAAGAAGCGTTCTAGCTGCACTTCTTCGAAGACAGATTTATTCATTTTTGCCAGTCTGTGGTATAGCCAATAATCTTCACCAGCACCATAATTCAAATGCAACAGTTCTTCTCCCATCTTCCTTATTCATTATCAACTTTTGACATGTATATGAGGCAATTGAAAATATCACGGCTTGGGTCCGTCATACCTTAGTCTTCAATGTAGCATCTTTTCTTTTTAATGCTTTCAAGAAGACTTTTGCAGCAGATTTTCCCAATGAAATACATCTTTTGATTTCTTGACTGCTGCTTCCATGACCATTGATTATGAATTCAAGGAAAATGAAATCCTTGACAACTTCAGTGTTTTCTCCGTTTATCATGATGTTGCTTATTAGTCCAGTAGTGAGGATTTTTGTTTTTTAAATTGAGGTATAACCCATACAAATGGCTGTAGCCTTTGATCTTCACTAGGTGCTTTAAGTCAGCTGCAGGGATCCAGGTGAGGAGAGGAACTCAGGCACGCCCAAAGCAGTAGGGTGGGAGAGCAGGAGAAAAGGGATAAAAAAGCCAGGAACCTGGATGGAGGAGCAGTCAGCCGCAGGGATCCAGATGAGAAGAGGGAACTCAGACACACCCAAAGCAGCAGGGCGGGAGAGTGGCAGA